AGATAGATATTAAATGATTTTTATAACTGTATTATATTAAATGATATCCATAATTATAATTCTTTTTTTTATGGAAACTAATTAAAGTCGTCATTAATATCGGGAATAACATTTTTTCAGAATTAATTCGCATCAATGTTTTCATGTATGGGTTCGTCTTTTGTTTATGGACGCACTCACTTAAAATACAACAAAATTGCATGGAATATGAAGAACGAGAGTGTATTCTACTAGAATACATTTTCATTCTGTTAGAATAATATACTCTCAATATTCTAGAATAAACTTTCATTCTGCTAGAATAACTATCGTTCTCAATGTTCTAAGCAACTTTGTTGTATTTTGAGTGAGTGAGTCATAAAACAAAATACGAACCCATACATGAAAAACTAGATGCGAATTCATTATGAAAGAATATAATTGTTGATATTAATGACGAATTTATTAGTTTCATAAAAAAGGAATTATAATTATGGATATCATTTAATATATATATATATATATATATATATATATATAATTATTGAAATCATTTAATATCTATTTTTATTTGATTAAATAATAATTTATTTTTTACTAAATTCTTATTGGTGCATTCTAGCACACAATACATCTGAGAAACATTTGAACCTAGCGCTCTCTCTCTCTCTCTCTATATATATATATATATATATATATATATATATATATATATACATGTGTGTGTGATAAAATACAATGGGTGTTTTTGGCAAAAAATAGTTGATAATTGCAAGTTGGTAGTGGGTAACGGACTAACGGGTAGTGAATATTGGGTAGCTGGCTGTAACTTTTATTTGTTACATGAGTGTTTGACAAAAATAACTTGAAGCTTTTGAAATATGTACAATTACATAAAATGACAATTGTTCAAAAGCTCAGTAGCGCTTTGTTAAACGCTAAATGAAATAGCTTTTATATTTGGAGCGTTTTGTTTAAACTAAAAGTTAAACGTTCGTACCATCAAACGAAACTTTCTGTTTAAACTAGAGTGTTTTGTCAAAAGTTAAAAACTTGAAGCTCCTAAACGTCTCGTATCAAACACGTCCAATGTATTTACATTTAAACTCATATCATAAGGAAAAAAAAACTCGGATGAATTCTATCGTCCTATTCAACCATGACGAATCGAAAACGAACATTGATTTGATTAACGCGAAACAAAAACATTAAAAATAAGAGGAAAAAACTTAGCTTAAATATTGGGAGCATGACTCTGACAAGCCCAATTCGCGGGTCGTAAGCCCATTTCAGAAATGAATGTAGAATTTTCCTATTTTTTTTTTTTTTTTTTAATCTTAATTATTTTGGTTCTATATTAGTCTTTACTTGAAAATATAAGGGACGTTTCTCTTTTTACACTGGAAAACACTCATAATCTTGGCGCCTCGAACACTTTGTAGTTTGTATCGTTTCTAAGGGCTTCTCCCAATTCCTCAAACCGCGCTCCTACTCAGTCCTCACACTGTACACCATGAACCCTAGACCCATCGTCAAGCTTTCTCACTTCCTTAATTCTGGGTAATACTTCTGCTTTTCCGTACACTTTTCCTTCATCAAATTGATACATCTGCATCCAAACTACATTAATTTAGCGATTGTTAGCGTATATTCTATCTTGGTATATCAACATATGCTGTGTTGTGTTGTTTAATCTATTGATATATTACATTACATGTGGGGTTTTAATTTAAGTTGTTAAACCTAGAAGTTATTTATGGTTCTTGTTAATTAGGAACAAGCTCTTCCAGCGTGGCATTTCTACTGCCAGACAAAGTTATGGCGCTGAAGGTATTCTCAACACTCGTTTCTTGATTCTTATGTAGTTTATAAAAGGGTAAAACAAACACTTATTTATGCAACCCTGTTTCAGGAGGGAGAAATTCTGGTCGTATATTTGCAGACTATGCAATTTTTAAAGGCAAAGCAGCACTTTCTGTTGCCCCTGTTCTTCCTAGTTTTAGTAAAACGGATGTATGATTCTCTATCTGGCTTTCACTTTTTAAAAAGAATGCTAACATTATCAATTGGAAAATATAATCACAAATTACTGAAAATTTGTTTGTTATGCAGTCTGGTTATACAAAAGTAGATCGGCGAGGTGTGATTATGCTGACATTCCGGCCTGCTATTGGTGAGCGCAAATATGATTCAGAAAAGAAACAGGTAATGGCACATTTGTAATTATAATTTACTTTCTATTTCCTGAGTTATTAAAGTTGGAATGGAATGGAGCATTACTATGGATTATGGAATAGAATAATCCTCTTTAGTGATGTAACTGGTTTTTTGTTGTATAGTTGTTTGCATTGTCAGTGACAGAAGTTGGATCATTCATAAGTTTAGGTCCAGGAGATTCTTGTGAATTCTTCCATGATCCATTAATGCAATCAAGGTATAATAATAATAACCCTTTGTTACTTATGGTAAATATATATATATATATATATATATATATATATATATATATATATATATATATATATAGCAAAATCAGTTTTTACTCGCCATGTTGAAATATTATTTGATGATGGTATATATATTATAGGGATGCAGGTCAAGTGAGGAAAAGCTTATCAATTAAGCCACACACAGATGGTTATTTCATTTCTCTAAGTATGTAAATGTGATATTATTTATGTATAGAAAAAAAAAGGTTGTTGAATTTATATTGGAGTTTTATTTGCGTGCAGCTGTAGCAAACAATATCTTGAAAACTAACGAACGATTAACGGTTCCTGTAAGTACAGCAGAGTTTGCAGTTATGCGTGCAGCTTTCAGTGTATGTGTTTTTGATTCTTTCTTTAATGTAAACTAAATTTAAAAGTTATAATTTATATATTTTGAAAATTGAAAAATGAAATGCAGTTTGCTTTGCCTCATATCATGGGATGGGCACATAGCACCAACCAGGTGTCGGATGATAATAATGTTGGCAGAGATTCTTTGAAGGTGCATCCACAAGCATCATCATCATCAGAATGGGATAGGTGAAGTTATGTTATGTATGTGGGTACAACTGTTAAATATAAGACTAGAATATTCTGTTTCTTCAGTATCAACTATCAACTCTCTATGGTATGAGTTATGACCTAGACTAGAGAAGGGTCATCCTACATTTATTATGTGGCTCCTTGAATTGTTAATTTTCACTATTAGGATGATTGGCGTTTGTTGTCTTTATCTTTTGGTCTTCATTTTGGTCCATCTTTTTCTGTTCTTGTGGTTGTGGGTTGAATTTATAGAAATATGTAGTTATTAAAGTTAAAATTTCATTTTTTATTTGAGTTGTTTAAATTTCATTTATTCTTCAAGTTGAATTGTACTTTGCTTAATCAAGCATGGTTTTTAAGATTTTATTAGCAAACATTTTTTATTTTTTATACTTCCTTAGCAATCCTACAAACATTTTTTAAGAATTGTTTGTCTTGTTCAGGACTTTGTTAGTAAATAATACTAATAGCCTAATGAACATTTATGATGCTGTCAATTTAAGATTTATCTTCTTTGAGCCAAGATTGAGCCTACATAAAGACTTTTCGACTAATATCATCAAATTAACTTGGGAAAATGACTTATATGGGTAACTATGTTTAAAATACCATTCAAGTTTGGTGTGTCCAAAAAACACCATCCAAGTAAAGCATTTGTACAAAAAACACCAACGAAGTACATTCTTTGTTCAAATTTGACATTTGGTAACCGGCAATTACCGGTAAAAAATAAGTAAAGGAAAAAAAGCAATACGAAATGACTCAAAGAGGTAACTATGTTTCAAAATCGTTCAAAAAACACCATTCAAGTTTGGTATGTTCAAAAAACACCATCCAAGTAAACTTTTTGTACAAAAAACACCAACAAACTATATGTTTTGTTCAAATATTACCCACCGGTAATTGGTTCTTACAGGTTAAATGATAATTTGGCTTAACTATTATGACATGGCATAATAATGATTGACAAAACAATAAATAATATATTCCTCATTTAAAAATCGATTTAGGGTTTCTTCATGAAGAAGTTATGGCCTTTGGAAGATTGGTGGTTCTTGACCCTAGCCGAGTACGTTGGGCGTACTGGCTCGACATCCGGATCGCAGAGGCTCCAACATATGATGGGACTATGCACAAACTTGTTTAAGTTAGGCATCGGGCCCACCTGATTGTAGCAGGTCATTTTTTGGGCTTAAGGCCATATTGGGGGTTCTTGGGCCATATTAGGCCTTAGATGCCTTTTAGTTGGGCTTGGATGCCTTTTTGGGCTTTTTATGGATTTGGGCCTTAGGGGGAGGGAGGTCCATTGAGGCAGGGGTAAATGAGCCCTTTTTTCCTTAAGTTAAGAATTAGGGTTTTGGACTTGAGTTCGAGATCATCACTTTAGAAGAAGACGAGCAATCATAGGAGAAGAATAAGTCATTCGTTCATAAAGAAATCCTAAATCGGTTTTTAAAGGAGGAATATATCATTTATTGTTTTGTCAATCATTATTATGACATGTCATAATAGTTAAGCTAAGTTATCATTTAACCTGTAAGAATCAGTTACCGGTGGGTAATATTTGAACAAAACATATAGTTTGTTGGTGTTTTTTATACAAAAAGTTTACTTGGATGGTGTCTTTTGAACATACCAAACTTGGATGGTGTTTTTTTGTACAAATGCTTTACTTGAATGGTGTGTTTTGGACACATCAAACTTGAATGGTATTTTTTAAACGATTTTGAAACATACTTACCCATATAAGTCATTTTCCAAATTAACTTTGTCCTGGTTCGTTTGTAACATAAAAAATGAGGAAAATATTTGTAACGAATATTGAACCAAACATGTTTTTTAACTTTTCAATTTTCTTAGAAAGTTTTGTTATAAAACTAGAATATTTTCCACAACCAAACACACCTAATTTGGAGACATTTGGGGATGAGTGGTAAAAATTAGATAGTTGGGAACACAGGAAAAGTGTGAACCTATAAATTTCTAAAACACCAACCCAAAAACAAAAACAAAAATCATGCAAAGCCAATGATCTGCTACAACAAAGCCAAACAGCAAAACACTTTGATTTTGTTGTATTGGCGTGTCTATGTGTGTGGTGAACAAAAATGAATAAGAGACGTGTTTTTTTTTAATCCTGATTCTCGTGGGGTCCAAATTTGCAGGAGATCTCTTCCCCTTGTATAAGCCTCTCTACTGCATCCAAAGGAAGTCCCACCAATTCTAATGTCTTTTCCCACACTTTGAAACAAGTTTCCACATTATAAGCTTCTTCAGAAGGGTTTGTAGGGTGACATTCTTGAGAAATAAAAGCAGAAACCGGCCATTCATCCGCTTTCAGCATTTCACAATACTCCGGGATTTGTGGATCAGTAGCCGCAAAAAGAGAGCTTCTAGAACCTGTTGTAATTGCAAAAAAAAAAGTAGGTTGTTATTTCATGCAATTTTTCCTAAAAAAACATGTGAGAGAGCATGTTAATTGCTTGCCTTCTTCAGCACTGAAGATAAAATAGGGGATTAGGCGATAAGCAGCCTGAACAATTTTGGGAAGATCCCTCGCCTGAAATTCACAATCTCAAAAATCAGTAGTGCTAAACTAAATTTCCAATTTAAAATAAATGATATTTCATCATAAATTAATTTTACAAATGAAAATGGTAATGCTAGAGTAGTTACCACATTAGTCTGAACTATTCCTGGAGATACACATACTACACTTATGCCAGCTTCACCAGGTAACTTTTTGTGGAGAACATTACTAAACATCACCTGAAAATTAAATTACAGTAAACAGAAACAACATTAATACTTAATATTTTACTAATTCAACTAATTTAGTAAAAGAAACACACCTGTGCTAATTTGCTGCTTGAGTAACCAACTAAACTTGTGAACTTTCTTTTCCCTGAAACAACATTCATATCTTCTGTGTCCACAAATCCAACTTGATGCATCTATAAAAAATAATTACTTTTTTTTTCACAATTGGGTAGTTGAAAAAATAATAAAAAAAGATGGGAATAAAACTTACAATTGAGTTCACGTTTACAATTCGACTAGGGGAACCTCTTATAAGAGATGGAAGGAGCAACACTGAAAGCAGTGCTGGAGCCAGGTGATTCACTTGCATGTGTTCTTCATATCCATCTTTTGAAAACTTTTGTGGTTCTAAAAAAATAAAAGAAGTAAGAGGAATTATTGGATTGTTTTTTTAGAAGGTATAAAAATATTTGAAGAAATGTAAATTATGTGACCAAACTAACCTCCTATAGAAAATATTCCTGCGTTGTTTATCAGCACATGTAAAGGTCCTGATCGTGCATTCCATGCCTTGGAAAATCTTACAACAGAAGCCAAGGAGAGAAGATCCAGTTCCATCACCTTAATTTCCACAAATTAAATAAGTTTTTTGCTTTGCTTTTTAAATAAAAAAAGTTCCAAATTAAATAAGTTTACTATATAAATATACCTCAATATTGAGAGGAAGCCCTCTTCCAGACCATTCATCCTGCCATTTCTTGATCTGGTCATGGGCTGCCTTGGTATTTCTAACAGCCATAACAACATGTGCCCCTGATTCTGCCAGCTGTCTGCTCGTGTTTAAAGAATAAGAGAATCAAGAATGATTAAACAAAGTTGAAATGTTACTTGTCACACTAATTTGCAAGGATGATAAAATTCAGTGATGCATATACAAGATGAGGAAGCTCATTGTGGTTTTAGCAGGGGATCAAGCATTGAAAGTTTGATATTAATTCTTATCATAAATCACATCTCTCAAACCCCCCAGGTTCCTTAAATCCCATTAAGATTATCCTTAGGTCATCAAGGACTTGCTAGATTCTGTGTTCTTCAATGCATCATCTATGAAGGTCTAACCCCAAAATAAACCAGTGGAGACGTTAAAAACCATGTGAAAGTGCAATCTAAGATACAGGTTACTTTAGGAAATCATCTACGTTTTTTTAGTTTCTCTAAATAGGTTCTGTAGTTCAAAAGGGTGTTTAATCAGGTATTGCATCATTATCCTTTCCAATCATTGAAATTCAATTTTTGAGATGCTAGTGATAATAATATTAAATCAAAGAATACCTAAGTGATGTGATTCATAACACACAATTACGAACGGATTCCTTAATTTGACATCTTATTTAAAAAAGAGAAATCGAATTAATTATTTTGTCAAACAGAGTATTCAAACGGCGAGATCACAAACAAAAATGTTTGGCTGTAAATCAATAACCACAAATCGTTTAATCTTGTGGACAAATATGTTGTTCTGATTAGAATTTTTTCCAGTTTTAACCGAAAATTGTTGGTCACGAAGCGTAAAATTGTCCCAAATTCTAATCATCCATAATACCTGAATAGAATAATAATGCTAAAACTTCGGAATAGATAAGAAAAAACAAGGACCTGGCAGTTTCTCGGCCAATCCCACTGGTGGATCCGGTAATGATGCAAGTGAGATCGTTGAGGGGAGGCAAAGGCATCGGATTCTGCAAATGAGACGCCATTATTCTCTGAAAAAGCATCTCGTATGCCAAATAGAACCAACCTCTAAGCCACTCCATCCATCCTAATCTTTCCTTCTTCAACTTGGAAGTCGCCGGCTCCCTCTCGTCATTTTTACCTTCTGAAGAAGATGATGATGAAGCCATCGCTGGTATCCCGAGAGAATCGTAGATCTGTCCTTTCTGCTACACTGGTGGAGTGAAGTGTTTAGGTTTTGTATGCAGTGTGCAGGGAATGAGCATCTTCAATTTTTAAGCTTTTAAAATAAATTTACAGGTTGTGAAAATAGTTTTTTAAAAAGGTATGATTCAAAATCTTATTATCAAAAATGTGAAAATAGTTTTTTGGAAGGTATGTTTCAAAATGTTATTATCAAAAATATTATGAACTTAAATAGTATGATTGAACGATTCAAAATGTTATTATCTTAATATCATGAACCAAAATTTATAATAAAAACTTTTTGCGGTTCAAAAATATTTGATCTGAAATATTATAAGTCAAAATTGTATGATCCAAAATTTGTTATATTAAAGATGTTAAGAATCAAAAAAATTTATGAAACAAAGTTTATATAAAAAATTAAAAAAAGAATATTTTTTGTTTTATAAAAATAAAAATTAATGAAAACTAATATTTCTTAAAATTAAAATTTGATATCAAAATAAATTTATTTTGAAAATTTATTTTCAAAAAGTTCATAGTATATGATATATAACAAGTTTTTAAAAAGTTATTTAAAAAATAAATTTTTTCACGTCTTAGTATTTATAAAAACTTGAATTTCTTTAAACAAAATGTAAGTACCCTTAACAATATTTTTGTATAAAATCATTAAAATAGTAAAGACGAATAGCTCCTTCATATGTTTTTTTTTCCTTTGAATTTTTAGAAAAAAAAATCCGGTTGTATTTTATAAAAACTGGTATTTCTTAAAATTAAAATATCAACATTTCAATAACTTATTTTTAATTTTTTTTTCTTTTACAAAAATACTAGTAAAAATATCTCTTAAATTTTCATAATTTTTGAAGAACTTTTTAGTTTTTATAGAAATAACAAATTAAACAATCTTAAAAAAAACGAGTAACAAGTTGCACCACTACCCCTTATTTTATAACAATATCAACTAATGTTTTTTTTTTTTTTTGAAAATATAACCTATGGTCAAAACACTTTGAGTATTCGAAGTTTGAAATTTCAAGACAAAGAGTCATTTTCTAGTTTTTTAAAAGGAAAACGTTTTAAAAAACTACAAACCACTATTCTCTTAAATACTATTTCAACCATTTTTTTCCACAGTGGATTCATGAATAACTTCTTTATACACAACCGATCTTTTTTTATCAGCTCTTGACTTATGTAAGCTAACGTGGCAATTTTTGTCCAATGTGTCGTGACACATAGCTGCTGTCGTGGTCCTTGGAGTCCCATTTTAGTCATTAAAGCCATATTTTACCTATTTGTGGCCCTTGAAGTCATCTTTATGCACATCTCTGATTCCATCTACCATCGTATTTCTTCCGTACCGGCTTTATCTCTATCATGTTTCTTACTTATTGTATGTTTACCCATCATATTTCTTCACTGCTATCTTGGCTTTTTGTAACACCGTAAATTTTCAAAACAAAGTTTTCATTTTAAATCACATATTTCTCATAATGTATCTTACAAAAAATCTCATTCATTAGATTTACAATTAAAATTTCCACAATTGCTCGGTTAAAATCCAGGATCCTCAAAACGTAACTCTTTTACTGGTGTGTGTACAATCAAGCCGGTGCCTTCCCGCGATCCTCTGAGATACCTGAAACACATAACACATAATACGGTAAGCACGAAGCTTACTGAGTTCCCCAAATACCACATACAACATATTAGCCACTAGAGGCTATAACTCTGTAAGACCTTCCGGTCAATGTGTCTCAGTGGGACCTTCCGGTCCCATAACTTTGGTAGACCTTCCGGTCCTACCCATGATGACCTTCCGGTCTTAACTCTGTAGACCTTTCGGTCCTACTCTGTTGACCTTCCGGTCCAAACTCTGTTGACCTTCCGATCCAAACTCTGCAAGCTCAGGACATAGCATATACGTATCACATAGATAACATACATCAAACTCTGTTGACCTTCCGGTCCAAACTCTACAAGCTCAGGACATAGCATATACATATCACATAGATAACATACATCTCATAACCCTTATAACCACATAAGACCTTCCGGTCACACATAATTACCACTCTAGGTAAAGTATAGTGAGAAGACTCACCTCGGCTAGCAGGTAACCGACAAGCACTCGGAAATCTTGGACTAGCCTCCGCCTAACACATAAGACAAGCATCTCAATCATTATCCGTCTTATTACCCTTTATACCTTAAGTCCTCTTTTCCTCCTTTAACCCTCAGGATGGGTAAAAGACCATTTTACCCCTCCTTTGACCCACCTGCCCCCTTACTGGCCCACTCATGAAGTCAACAGAAGTCAACGTGGGTCAACATTCCATGTTGACCTGACTCGCCGAGTGCACGCCTGTGACTCGCCGAGTCTACACGAATTCTCCAAGTTCTTCCTAGGGTTCACTCAGCTCACTGACTTGACTCCCAACTCGATGAGTTAACACTGGGTCAAGGCTACAAGGTCAAACCCGCTACGACTCGTCGAGTCATCCCATGGACTCGGCGAGTTGGATCCATTGGATTCCTCATTTAGCCTCCTGAGGGCAAATCTGTAACTCAAACTCATAGATCCAACCTCCTACTACCCAAAAGTCACGTAAAGGTCCGATCTTGATGTCCATGCATGGTGTATTTTGCATTATAAACCATAAAAACTCCATTAATGGTTCCTAGCTCCAAAGCCCAATGGTTGCTCCACCGTGGCTTCCCACTTTCGGACTTTCTGGACCCTCCAAGGTCCAGATCTATGCTAACAGCTCATAAGAGGGGTTTGATGCATTCAAAACCCCACCAAGAAGGTAATACAAGCCCTAATCCTCAAAAGAAAGATCTACTCAAATAGGGAAGAAAATGGGTCCGAATTGATACCTCCAACTGATGCTCCTTGATTGTAAATCGCGGATCTACAACCTCCTCTGGCCCCTTTAGCTTGAAACCTCCTTCTTCCTTGCAAAACACCCACCAAGAAGCTCAAAATGGCTCTCTCTCTCTTGCCCAAAGCACTCAGGACTCGTTTAGGGTTCTATCTTCTGAAGGGTAGCCGCAATAGGTGGCCTTAAGTGCCTTTAAATAGGTCCACGCCCGAAAGAATTAGGGTTTCTGCCAACAACGCTGAATCGGCGAGTCATCCCTCCGACTCGTCGAGTCCATTCATTTTTCCACGTCACCCAGACGCGACCCCACTCGACGAGTGGAGGCACCAACTCGTCGAGTCACCCCAGGTAAACTCGTACTAACATATAGAAATGTTATACCTCAGAAATCAGGATGTTACAATTCTCCCCCACTTGAATTTGATTACGCCCTCGAAACCGTTCCTCAACTACACATAAATCGAACCCCAAAACCCGAAAAGCACCGCGGAAAGGTTCTCAAACCAAACCGATATCCTTCTCCATGGCCACCTGAACCCAAACAGGAACTCCTAAATCCGGAACAAAACCGACCTCTCTGATTCTCACAAGACAAGCCCAACAATCGGCTACCGGTCACCCATACCAGACATACCAAACGATCCCAAACACACTTCCAAACGACGAACGGGTCACATTACATCAGAGACCCATCCACAACACTGCAATCAAAATCCGTCTGAGCAAAGAACTCTCAACACCCTATTCTCAGACACAAGAAATGATCATACTTGCTCAGCAGTGTCCTCAGACATCAAAATCATAAGCCCCAGCTTTGTTTCTCACATCCCTTTTCACACTGAGCACCATGTCAACTTCTGACTCCACAGTTGAATCTTCAAAGGTTACCCATTACACACCCCAAAACGTCTCACTGACTTCCCTCTCACAACATCTATCTGGACCCATTGTGACGCAGAAGTCACGAAGTTCGCCTTACCCCAAGCGAAAGCTACACTCCTAACTGAAATTGTCTCACCCTCGACTGTGACAACCGTCAATTTTGGCCAAGTCAAAGTCAACTAAAGTCAACAAGTCAAACCGGTCAACTCATCTAACCCTTGTATATTAGGGTTTCCATTATGATTCTTATTGCACTACTCGCAATCTTAATACAAAGTATCACTTAGAGTTTTCACGTGTTCGGAAATTCTAAACCCTAATTAGGGCAAGTGATGAAACTACTCGATAAAACATTATTCCTTGACCCTCAGGGGCATATAACAATCATAACAAAACTTAACGAGGTTTACGAACCTTGAATTACAGAGCCAAACACTCAAAAAGTTCATAAAAGAAATCTCTCCCAAATCTCTCTCTATATGAGAAATCTCTCCAAGTATGTCAAATCTCTCTCAAATCTCTCCAAGTATGCCAAATCTCTCCAAGTATGTGAAATCTCTCCAAGTATGTCAAATCTCTCTCAAATCTCTCCAAGTATGCCAAATCTCTCCAAGTATGTCAAATCTCTCCCAAATCTCTCTCAAAACCTCTTTTGATTTTTTTTAATCATTTGGGGCATCCCGACACTTGACTTGGTGAAAAACCATTCGAAACGGGATGATACCTTGGAAAATAGCCTTTTAGGGCCGAAGTCTCTCTATAGGGACCAAACCCTCCTTGAGCCGAAGCTCCAAGAACCAAAACCGAAGTCCCCTTAAGGAACCGCAGCCATCGGACCGGAACGACTAAGGACCGGAACTGCTGAGGACCGAGGCTAATGAAGACAGCAGCGCTGAACCGAACCCGAAACTGGAGCACTGGACCTGACCCCCGCCTTCGGTCCCTTCTGATGAGATCGCCTGCGGTACCTGCTCGGACCGAAGTCCCTCCCCCTCCGGTTCTAAGGCTGCTAAGACCGGAACCACGCCCCTGACTGCGGATTTTCCCATTTTCCACCCGGTTTTCGACCACGACTCCGTTTTAAGCCCGTTTTTAATTATTTTAACGAGGGATTTTCACCCAAACTTATATTTTGACATATAAGACCCCATATATTCATAAATTAAGCATATTTTTAGGGAAATCCTTTTTTAAGAATAAAAATCTATTAAGTAAGATCTTGTGGTGGAGTGTTGACTTTGCCTTAGTGTATGACACAAGCAACCACCCCATGCCCACTCCATGACCAAC